GAACCAAACAGACTAGACTTAGAGTAAGAAAGACAGAAGTAGAAGCGTTTAGTCTCTCAGATACAGGAGGGGTGCGCTCAGACTCGTGTGAGAGGGCCTTGATACCTTCGTGCGCCTGAGGGCCCCGCAATGGCGGCCAAATCTGGCAGCTTGGTTAACCCAAATCAAACTGCTCGTCGTTGGCTCTCCCTGGCGGGACCTCAAATCGTAGCGGCAACCTCTTTTGTAAAACTTAGTTACTCCCCAAACTTACAAGGCCGTCACTTCCGACCAATCGCTGGTGCGTAGCCTGGGATGGGTGCCCTCTGATGCTATAGAGCCCCGCAGAAAACGACACTCTCGGCAACTGTCTTACAGCAATAACACCCTTCCGCTACTCCCCCTCCGGTCAGCAACACTCACCCACTCTCGAACGGCCTACAGCACACGGCAGTTACCCCCGTGCTATATAGCAGAGACGAACCAGGTGTCACAATCCAGCGAGTTCACGGCGAGCCTCGCAATTGCACGAGCAGCAGCACAATCGTTTGCAATAGCCGTGGCCGCTGCTATAGTAGTAGAATGTGTCCACAGCAACACAGCCGACCGTACAGTCGAGGCACAGCAACAAATATCGCAGTAGTTGGGCTGCCCGACGACCCGCAGTTACTCAGCCCCACAACATTCGCCTACTCCCCACCGCTGGGTCCCAAACCCTTGCTCCCACTTAACCTCTCCCGGCCCTGGTCACAGACTTGGACAAACATATACAAGCTCCAGGCGTTTGCTGTTGGACTGGGTGACGCCGCTCAATGATCACCGGAGCTGCAGCGAATGAGCTCCCCTTCAAGGGGAGTCAGAACCACCATGCACACCAGTTAGGGACAACGAACGGACGAACCCTGCCCCGGAACGTGGAGATATACACTCCCTCCCAGCTCGGCGTTCCCATCCGAATCCCCTGTACGACAGGTAAGCCCCCTACCCCTCGGCTCACTCCTCCCTGCTAGCACGAGCGGATCCGTCGTGAATCCTTTCGTTAACGTGCGGTCAGATACATTCCAGATTCTTGACAGTCGCCTCTCCTCTCGGGGCGCAGCCCCTAACGCCTCTCCTGACTGACTCATTGATCTACAGACAACACTAACACTACCATCACGCTCGCTGCCTCCAAAACCCCCAAGATAACTCCCCAACTCGCTCAACTCCGTAAAGTTTCGAGCGATATCTCAACTTTCCTCCGCCCGTCTTCATCCGCCCCGCCATAGCTCGGCGCAGCTCATTTCATACTAACCTCTAAACTACTAACATTTCATCTAGAACTAACGACAGAATTGGAATCGCCTCGGTCAGAAACCCCCAAACTGGTCTTTACCTCGTCCGATTTCATCATGGAACGACCGAGTTATGCCCATTTTCCCCCTCTCTCAACTGTAGCCATCTCCGACTCCGCCCCGATGCACCCGGGCGTGCTCCCCTTCCAGATTCAGCCCCCGCTTCCCCGTTATGCTATAGCCTTGCCCCTACCCCGGCGCGCTGGCCTAGCGCTCATTATCGCTGCTGCGAGCGCCCGCCTCCTTCGTGCCCTACCGCTCTGCCTCGCCCTATCCAACCTCTCCGCCTGTGGCACTCATGCACCTGGCGTGATTCCACGCCCGGATTCACCACCGCTATCCGCCCTCGCTACCGCACAGCGTCACGCTGCCCAGCCCAACCGATTACCCGTCGCCTAGTGTCGTGCCCTTCATCGCTCCCCCCCTCCGCCTTTACTGGCAGCACCCGACTCCTTCGTCTCCGTTATCGTCACCCGTATCCCCACGCCGCGTGGTCTGGCAACCTCCGGCTTCCCAAAAAATCTTCAACTGTCGGATCTGCTCGGGATATATACACGTCCCGAGCACAGGGCCACGCCAGCCTTCCCTACCTTACCCAAGCTCCTAGACGCCCGGAAGAATCCGACCGCGGTAGTGCCCCGTTACAACCCCGAAAGCCACCCAGCCTGTTTACCCCCTCTCACCACTTTTCGCCCGCCCCCTGACCCGGTTCTCGTCCGGGTTCACTCCCGGACTTTGGCACATATCTCCCCCACGCCCGGTAGTCAGGCGGACCTCCCCCGTATCGTCCAATTTTAACGGATGTCCCGAAGGACTCCGGCCGGGGTAATGCCCCGTGGCCTCTCAGGGCCCAAATGGCCCTGTGCAACCCGGGATACCTGGGCTTTACTCACCGTATTCCCCTTGTCTGGGCCCAACGCAGGCCCGTACTCCGACGGCTTACGAGTACAACTGCTAGCAGGTGTTTGGCCCAGACAACCGGCCCAAAAGACGGAGGGTTCACTCACAGTAAAAAAAAAAGAAGACGGGGAACCAAAAGGGCGCAGGGTGTGTGACCTATCAGTGCGTCCTTGGTCCTATAAGGAAGGCCCGCGGTCGGTTCCCCCACCAAAACTAAGGGGTATAGCCCCGTCGGGCCCTCAACCCCTTGGTTTCCTCCAACGCTCCGCCGCGCCCTCGTCGCAAACCGTCCTCTCCCCCTTTGTCCTAGACAGACGCCGGCTTCTCGTTGAGTGTCCCGACTAGACTCTTTCCCGTAAGCAGAGTCATACCCAGGGACGCGGGCCTTAAATGAGACCTCGGAAGACACTCTTGCCTCTCTCATAAAATTCTCACAGTCAAAACACATATGCATATACACATTTATATCTCACCTCAACTCTTTCTGCAGTCTAGTACAGAAATGTTAGGTCTCCATCCTGGCCCACCATAGTTTGGTTGATCGAGCCAGATCTACGGCTTATCGCATTGTTATCTTAGCAACAATATCCTTCGTTGGTTACACAACGATAGGTTCTCTCCTGATGAACACTCAATCAAGACGACCAAACGACTCGACTCGTATCCCCCGCCATCCCCCCGGAGCAATTTCCCTGAGGCATGCATAACCCCTTAAACTCTCACCCCGTTGGTAGGCGTGGGCCCGCAGCCAGGTTATGCTGGCTTGCAACCGTCCAATAGGGGTTGTGCCCTAGAGGTGCTAACCTTTACCGTTTAGCTTGGTATTCCTCAATATGCCTTACGATTAGCACAAGTGTTCCGGCAGTGTGTCGCAAAATAGACCACAGGCCCGCTGCGGGACTACGCAGGGGTCCGTCTCACTTTTACAGGCGTTTACCAGCTCCCTATGGGAGAACATAGAGAGACCGGCTCCTTTTCACAATCACAAACAGATTCACCGCTAGGCTCATACGAGGCCGTGGCCCGCTGACTTTATCAGAGCCAGCAGACCACACATCCCACGACATCTTAATGCACCGACTTGCGACCGTCTCAGTTCCAATGACCCAATCCGGGATTCTGGTTCCTCTCGTCAGACTTTATCAATTCAAACACTGCTTTCCATGCCTTTAAATCTATTGACCCCTTTTTATACGAAGGAGGTCTCTCTCAACAGGTCTCCCAGCCACTCCTCTCTTTACAAGATAGGCTATCACGCGACCTGGGTTTTATAATTGTCAATAAACAACATTTCCACCTTCCATAATCTGAAGGGGTCTCAGCCATAAGATGACTCAACTGAGGGCCTACTTAAGGGTCCTCTTCTCAACTCAAACATGAAACAAACTCAACCTGAGGGACCAACTTGTGGGTCCCCTTCACAACTCGGCCATAAACATTCGGCATGGTAAGCATTCGAGCCTTATAGGCTCGCAAGACCCCTTAGGGTCCTCACAGACCTGTCACAAGACAACCGCACTGCCTCCCCTTATACTCGGCCGTCTCATCTGCCCAAAGGCAGGTCGCACGACTATACCGAAGAGTAGACGGCAATCGCAATTACATAATTCAACATGCATGAGATGTATCCCACACATCTCCCACACAAGATCATCATACATTGGGATAAAGCCACACATGTGAGAGTGATCGTGATCGTCACAAGAGTAAATCCCACAAAGTCTGGAATCAAAATATACTCGGGGGCAAAATACCTCCTTCAAGTCTCAACGCAAACACTCAACTCAGGCTCTCAGCACGCAACTCGTAGAATGTATTTAGAAATAGAATGCCTGCCTAGAGAACAACCCAAATAGTCAATCCACTTTCTCACTTTGTCGAGCCTCAAGCGTTATGGGCTCTCGGCGTTCTCACAAAAATACGAGCAAGGGTTTTAAACCTCAAAACTAATGCATAAGTTACATAGTCACGGGTATCACACAGCTGAACCTCACCTCCTAGACCGTATCACACACAAAAACTCAAAAACCGATCAAGCACTGCCACCTATGTATGCACAACTAGACAGGACTCTCTCGGCGGACTCAAACATGCACACCTCTAGAATCCACTTAACCAACTCAGAGTGTATACCCCTAATCCGACCTCTGCATGCAGAGGAACTCTAGTTCTACTGTCATATAGACGGACCAGTCCCTACTCACTCATGACCTCCTGGTTTTGTCTATATAGTTGTGCCTTGCCCCCATCTGGAGCCCGCTCTACCACTCGCCCCTGTCTATCATACATCCTTCCGCCACTCTATGTTACTTTCTCAGCGGCCTTGTCCTTGAGGAACTTCGGACACTCGAGGGCCCTGTGCACGCCATGCTTGCAGAAGAAGCACTGGTCATCTGATCGCCTTTGGTACTTCTTCTTCTTCTTTTGGGATCCTGGCAGTGATAGCGTCTCACTAGCCTCCCTGCTCATCTCATGGCTTTGGGGCATACTCCATGATTCCTGGTCTCGCCTCCAACATCGGGGTACTCGGCCCCGCTCGCATCTCGCCTCCCTGAGGCCGGTACGCCGGGGTGTCCAACCTTTGTGGCCTACCCTCACGGACCCCTCCCATCACAGTCGCCCTCTCATCCCTATGTGGGTTCGAAGGCTGGGGAGTCACGGCAACCACTGGCTCGCTCATAACCTCCTGCTGCTGCTCTGAGATATGCTCTCCTGAGTCAGCTCCAGTAGCCCAGGAGCCTAACTGTGTCCTCAACTCCTCCATCTCTGGCACACACTCCAGGGTCTCGTGTCTCTGAGGCCCCTCTGACGGCATGTCTAGCTCCATGGCTGCCACTAGTTCATCCAAACGAGATGCCTCCTCCCCTCAGGCTCGGTGGACGCTGCTGCCCCCGTAAGGGTACCTTCCTGCACTTCCAATATAATTGTAGGGGACTCCTCTGTAGGGCCCCCCTCTGTCAATGGGGGCTGAGATCTCTGTGCTGGCTCCTCCGTAGGGGTCTCACCCGCCATAGGGGTCGCCTGCTGCGAGGCTAGCTCGGTGGGGGCCCTGAAGCTGAAACTCCCCTCATTGGCCTTCCGCCTTGCCTCTACCTCCGCTGGGTCCAGAAATACCTTCTTCATTCCCTCTCGCTGAGATGGCTCTGCCGTCCCTCCCTGGGCGAAGAGCCCTTGTACTTCCTTGCCCTGGATACCATACCGGCTCTGCTTTGTCCAATCGACCACCTTAGTGGCCGAGAGCCCTTCCACAATCGTCGCCATGTCCTGAAGCCTCTTCTCCCATTCCGCCTCCTTGGCCTCCATGCGGGACCTCCAGGCTTGGTTCTCTGCCCTCTCTTCCACCAGCTGAGTAGACAATTGTTCCACCTCCGACCTCGAGGCCGCCAACTCATCACTAAGCATGGTGTATCGCTGGAAGGACGTGGTCGCCGACTGCCGTGCCCTCTTATCTGCACGCTCGATGGCCATCTTGGCGGCCAAAAATCCCAAGTGCCCCGTCTCTCGTACCTCGTCCATCCTCTAGTCCTTCTGCCCTGCCTCTCGTGATCTCAATCGGGCGGCGTCCCTCCTATCCTCGTATCTAGCCCACGCCTCGCCAATCCTCTGCTCACTGGTCCCCGGATCGACTCGTGGTGCTGGTGCCTCCCCTGCAGCCTCCATCCTGACCTTTTCCAGGTATATCTCCTCGAGGCGCACCTGCACTCTTGCGAGCTTCTCTTCAGCCGCCTCCCTTAGTGGCCTCTCCGCTTGTGCCTTGTGGGCCCCTCGTACTGGAGCTCCTGCACTCACCCCCTCCTCCGCCGATGGTAACTCTGGTGGTGGCTCCTCCAAAGTCGGCGCCTCAGTATCCATGGGCTCAGCTACATGCCCGGCTGGCTGCAGTGTCACAATCATATGAGCCCTCACCTCCTCGCTCCCCTCTCGCTCCTCTGGCTCAGCCTGCTTTGGAGGCGGCGTAGCGGTCCCCGATGAAGGTACCGGCATCTCCTCGCTGTCCGGCTCAGGAATCCCCTCAGGCCAATATGCCGCGTCTGCTCCGGAATCGGGATAGGAGGAGGGGTATCGTCTCTGACGGTAATAACCTCTTCGCCCTGCAGCTCCCCTGGCTCACGCGGCTCCGCCTCTGGCTCATTCTCTGCTGGCTCGTGGTGCACTGGCCCGCTCTGATCTGCTCCCAGCTGCGACGTCCCCCACTGGGATGCATCGAGATGGGCCTCCCGACGAAATTCCACTTGCTCAACTTCGTGGGTAGGGGGTAGCTCCACTACCTGAGCCGGCCCCGTGGCTCGGGATGGCTCTACCGTCTGGGCGGGTTCTGCTGGCCCTTCTCGCTGTGCTAAGGCCTTCTGGCCCCTCCTAGTCGTAGTAACCCCTCTTGCCTCCAGATCCCGTGGTCTCTTGCTCCTCCGCCTTCTTTCCACCCTAGGCTCCGGCCTCTCTGGCTCTGGCCGTCGAAACGTCTGCCTCAGCTGAGCCTGACAGTCCTCCCAATCATGTGCCCTGTCCCGGATCTGCCTCGCCAATGGCCTCTCCGCCCTTTGCGTCCAGAGGGCAACGTCTGCATCCACTCCTCCTGCCTAGTCCCCTGGTCGTGCATATACTGCTCATAGGCCGGAATGAACTCTTCCGCATTGCCTTCCTCCAATCGAATAGATAGTCCATTCGGTCCCAGCGGCAAAGCCCTCAGCCTCTGCATCCTCGCCTCCACATCCTGCCAGGTCAAAGCCTCCTCTCGGATATGCGCGATAGGCTCCTCAAGGCGCCCCACTCCCCTCAGATGTCGTATCCTCTCTTGGGTAGACCATCCCTCTCGTGCCGCGTGAGCCTAGTAGGCGTCCAGAAAGAGCTCTATGTTATCATCGTCGAAGACAGGCGTAGACTCCCTCCCAGACGGTCTGCGCGAGCCCTCTCCTCCTGAGGCTCCCAGAGGCCTCTGTCGTGGCCGTGCGCCCCTCCCGCCCCTCTGCATAGCTGTCTTCGAAAAGTCAAACCTGCACACCAGGCGAGAGAAAGCAAGCAGACACACAACAAGGTTAGCCATCAACCCATCAAGTTTTACGATAACACACATGCCCTTTCTTACTCTCCTACCTGACCTGACTATAGCATGCAACACCTCAAGGACTAGTTCATTCTGAAGGATGTAGAGCTTCTTTACCTATTCCCTGGCCACGAACTTCTTCAACCTGGTCCCCGACACCCAATCCTGCCATCCCGTCCCATTCAACTCCTCGATCTAGTAGGCTTCAAATTCGCCGCATCGTAGGATCTTATAGGGCCCCATCCATCTCTTGTCAAGTTTCCTCGACCACTGCTTCTCCAGGGAGGAGTCGTACAATAATACGACGTCCCCTACTGCCAATGGCTCCTTCCTCACTCGCACCATTTGGTCCCACCTCATCTTATCCTCCATGCGGCTCCTCTCTACTTGACCAGCGGCCTCTCGCAACCTTTCCTCGGCAGCCCCTACTTGCCGCGTCCGGATATCGAGCAGTTCTTCGAAGGATAGGTTTACTTTCAAGTCCTGACCTCTCGAAGTCTTCATGAAGCTTTCTATGGGAAAGGTGGCGTGCCTCTCATACCATAGTATGGCTGGCGCGTACTTGGTAGTCCTCTTTACTATGACATTTTCTACGAAGAAAACCGCCCGCAGGAACTTCGGCCACTGGCCAGGCTTGCCCTCCGTCCATTTAGCCAAGAGGTTCGTGATGGTACTGTGTCCCCTCTCCACAGGTGCGTTCGCTTGGGGATGCGCGGCCGTAGTATAGTTAGCCACCACGCCATACCCTGCGAGTAAGGTTCGCACCTCATTGCAGGTGAACTCTGACCCTCGGTCCATCACGAATTCTTTGACGAAAGGGTAACGCAAGTAGTGCTCTTCGATGCAGCTCCCCAAAACTGGGCCGGTCTTCGTGCGAATGGCTCGACCGTCCACAAACCCAGTAAGGTTATCCCGCGCATTGAAGATGTAATTACACCCATTCTCTCCGACTGGCATGAACAGCAGGTCCAGATGTACGACTGCATCTACTTCCTTCTCCAACCTTGGGTGTAGGGGTTCCCCTGGCCTTTGCGTTGACCTCTCCTGGCAAGGTACGCAAGACTGGCAGTACTTGATAACCATAGCCAGCATTCCATCCCAATGGTACAACTCGCTTATCTTGGCACATGTGGCACCTATCCCTCTGTGTCCACCTGCTATACCATCGTGTAGAGATGCTATGATATCAATCTGCCGGTTCCTCCCACATACAATCCTTTTGGGGTTCCCGACCTGCCGCTTTATGAATAAGTGGTCGTCCCTTACTACGTAGAGGTGCCTCACCTTCTGCGCTTTGGCGCTTGCGTTCCTATCCCTCATCTCGCAGGATAGGAGCAGCCCCAACTCTAGGTAAATTCCATCGTGCTCTTCTGCACAAAAGGCCTCCTTGATTTCTCCTTCCTCGAACTCATCATCCTGGCTTTCAGGAACAAAGCACCATTCTGGTAAGGCAGAGAGAGAGAGAGAGAGAGAGAGAGAGAGAGAGAGAGAGAGA